GCAAGTCATCGAGCCAGGCCAACAGGCCTCGAAACAGCAGCTCACCAAGCATTTGGTGGGCAACCGACTGGCAGTACGCGACAGCGTCCGTCTGTCCCATGAGCACGCGGGTCGGGGTGTACACGCCGAAAGGAGTCATGGACGAGAATTACAACTGGCTGTTCGCATGTAGCGGCAACTGCGAGTACCCCTTGGTCCAGTCCAAATTGAAGTACATGTTCGTTCCGACCAGACAGACCATCGCACTGTCCAGGTTTGGCATCGGCTCCGTGCAGGCGTTGATCGGCCTGCTGTCGATCGTCATGCGCAAGTCGCCGACTTCCTTCTTCGGCACGATCCTTGGGGTCGCGGCCCACGTAGCCCGGTTGTTTTTGTATACAATACCATTGGCTTCCAGGGCAACCACATGGCTGCGCATGTACTCCACATACAGCGGCGGGTACCGCTGCATCCCACACTTCACCGGCGTCGAGCCGGGTTTGATCCGAACCTTCAATGGCTCGACCTTGACTGGCGGATCGTCGCCCAAGTCTTCACGGAACACATCAATGTGTTCCGCCAATAAGTCGTGCAGCCGCGTCGCTTCAGCGGGCGCAAGCCCGCGCGTCTACGCCTCGGCTGCCTTGGCCGCCAGAATGGCTTGAACGGCGCCCTGCTCTTGCGGCGGCGCTGCGCTTCGTCCTCAACGGAGGTTTTGAGATAAACCTCCGGAGTAGCACACTCCATCACGTCGTCGGGGTAATGCTCCGACGGATTCAACTTCTCCGCCATCAAGCGCTTGACATTCGCCATGCCGTACTGTTCATTCGTCGGCACGGACGAGACGTCCTATTCTTCCTTCTTCGTCCTTGCTCCGACAAGGAGGTCTTCCACGCTGAAGCCCAGTAACTCCATGACTGGGCGACTCACGACGAGTTCGGTTGCAGTCGACGCGTCGTCGACCTAGGCCTTCAGACCGCGCAACACAAGCGGTCCACACAGTTGAACTTTACGCTGCGCGTCATCACAACTGGCTTGGCGTCACTGCCATACGGGTACGCCATATGCTGCACGCTATGGGAGACAGTCCCAACTTTGACACCGGCCGCGTCCAACGCATCCATGACGCCGCGCGTGACAACGGTCACGTCCGAACCAGAGTCCAAGAGCACATCGTCCACGCGGACGATATTCTCCAACAGCACACCGCGCTCTGTCTTCTGGCGTTGCGGCTGGTTGACCAGCACCTTGATGCAGTCCTTCCAGCGCTTGACTTGCGCTGCCAACAACGTTTCGGCTTCGCCAGCCGCGGTCTTCGGGCACCGCGCCACACGGTGACTCATGTCACCGCACTTCAAGCAGCCCTTCCTGGCAAAGGGTCGGCATTCTTGGGCACGATCGTTTCGGCCTTTCCGCCGTCTCTCCATTGTTCTTGCGGCGTTCTTGGCGACCGCTGTCACGTCTTGGTATATGAGGCTTGCCGCCTCGTGGAGGGTACCGGCTTCGATGCTGTGAAAGGTTTGGACTCGACTTCGTCATGACTTCGACGACCATCCTGCCTTCTTCATGGAGTACCCACTCCTGATGGTGTTGTTCCAACGAGCGCATCAACTCGTCAAGCATACGACCGACGCGAGACTCCGCGTCCAAGATCTTCGTATCGAATCGAATCGCTTGCTGCAGACGTTGCTTCAAAACGTCCAGGTCTTGAGGGCCTTCCTCAAACGCTTAGTTGAACCACGCGACCCACTCATCGTTCGTGATGAATGATAGTCGCGGTTGAAGTCGAGCAGCGCGATCCGGCGCTTCGAGAACGGGTTCATGCAGGCACTCACGAGCATCCCGAACGGACGCGATCCATTGCACTGCAGAGTGTTGATCTACCCAGATAGTTCTGGTACTCGCGCATAAAAGCGCGTCTTTCGGCCTTGGTCGAGCCCGAATATGTCGGCGGCTGCGGGAGCGCCGGCGCGTTCCAAACTTGCGGCGCCGTACGGCCGTAACCGTCATCACTGCCTATGTGTGTACCGTCACGGACGTCCAACGGGTTGTTGTCGTCTGGCAACGGCACTGAAGCGTCATCTGCTTCAGTCGTTGGTGGAGCAGCAGCTGAGACAAACGCTGCGACAGCTCGTGTTCCTCGGGTTGTGGTAGGGGTGTAAAACCCACCCACGTGGCGATTGCCACTCGTCGACAGCAGGTGGCTGTCGTCGTCGGGGAGATCTGAACGGGTTCTCAACGGTGCGCTGAGCGGCGCGTCCTCGCGGCTCCTCGATCTGGTCACGCGACCGCGATCGTTCTTCGGCGTTCGTTGGCGTTTGCTCGTCGGAGGAATGTTCTCGTACCATCTCCAGTGAATAGCACAACAATGAACTAAAGATATCTTTGTTTTGTCTCCCGCTTCTTCTTGTCTTTCGGCCACGGGACCTTCTTCAAGGTAGCAAATATAACACTGACATTAGTGAGGTTAAACACGCCACGAGGCGCCTACTGACTACCATTCCCTAAAGTACTCAGTACCTCCACTAAGGTATCGGAACCTTTGACACGACACACACACAGAGTGTGTGTGTTAGCAATGGGTCAAACTATCGCGCGACCCAATTGCTCTGCACGCTGCAGAACAGACATGTAAATAGCTGTGAAGAGTCCGGTACTGACAAAATATGATGTATGAGTGAGTCCACTGGCGCAGTGATTTAGTTACCTCACATTGAACGTGGAGGTTTCGGGTACAGAGAGTGTGTGTGTTTGCAATGGGTAAAACTAATGCGTGACCCAATTGCTCTGCACGCTGAAGAACAGGGGACGAAATCAGCGGTTTGGCACGCCAAGTTGTCCCCGGGAGCCACCCCCAAGAGCTCGCAGAACTTCTTGAAACTGGCAATGCGGCTCTTTTCCGAGTCACGGTTGGGAGGGTTAACACCGCATTCCAAGCCGCCGTTGACGATGTGAGTGGCCTTGGCAAAGCCACCGGGGAGACCCACCACCTTGTGGATGTTGCCGTTCCATCATTCATCGTTCCATTACCACAACGCACTCCACCACACCATGTCGAAATCTGTGGCGACCAGCTCAGGGCTCGCGACCAAGTCCAAGTTGACGGCCTTGCCAAAGTCCTTGTAGTTGTAGTTCCACGACAACTGGATCGGGCCACGACCAAAGTACTGCTTGGCAGCCGCACACGGGTACTTGGTGACTGCTGGCATATGGTCTTGTTGATCTCCTCAACGTAGCGAAGATCGCCAGACTCGAGCGAGATTTGGCTGAGGAAGGCGGCGACTTCGCGGCGGTCAACGTCGGCGTTGCCAGTGTTGGCGAATTCGAGGTACTTTTCAGCAATGGACACGAGGTTTTCGTAGTTGTAGATGGGGAGGGCTTCAGGGAAGATGCGAAGGAACAATTCCTTGGCAAAATGTGGAATTCGGTGAATTGTGTGTTGTGCTCGGCGAAGTTTGTGCGGAACTCGGGATTTGTATTGTGTTATTAGTCGTGTGTGTATTTCATTAAAATTTAGTGTGTCAAAAATACGTCCTCAGAGCGTTGGTTGCTTGATCGCGGAGGGGTTGCTAGATGGGGTACGCTTGGGGCTGCAGGTATGCGAAGGCTTGGGGCTGGAGGTAGTCCAAGGCTTGGGGCTGGAGGTAGTCGACGGCTTGGGGCTGGAGGTAGTCGACGGCTTGGGGCTGGAGGTAGTCGACGGCTTGGGGCTGGAGGTAATCGAAGGCTTGGAACTGGATGTAATCGAAGGATTGGGAGCATTCGAAGGCGATGGCGACGGATTGCTGCCGCCATCACCGCACCACTTGTACTGATCCAAGGAATCACATTGGGCTTTGCTCCACCCCAGGAAGCACGCATTGTTGACTGCGAAGTAGCAGTTGGTGCACCCG